CATTGGAAGCAATTTCAGGATTTTGAAAAAATGTCAGAGTAAACTCCACTGTTTGATTTTTGAAATGCTTTTTATTCGTAAACTTCAAGCAAAACTGAACAAACAGAGTGACTCGATCCGCGCGAAGCTATTTACTTAATTATTTCATATTTTAAATCGTTTCTATCGCCTTAGCGTTTTTTATTATTCATGCCTCAATTTTCTTGTATTGTTTCTCTGTAGATATTTTAGAGTTTTAGTCAGTGTCTCATTAGCATTCTTATAGTCGATTGTACATATTTGCACGCATACAAAAATTTCACTTTTCAACTTGAAAATGACCGTCGAACGGTCGAAACGTCGTTGCTTTTTAACGTTAACTTCTTTAGTAAAATCCGTTTCTAAAAATTTGTTGATTCGAATAAAATTTCTATGCGTAAACGCTGCAATTCTTACCGTAGTGTTTCATTTGATTTCTTTTCTTCAGCAAGTTCTTTACCAAGTTCATCGCATTGTTTCTTTGCCTTTCGTAGTTCCACTTCAAACGAAACATTTCCAGACGTGTGTTTTGATCGACACTCTATTGGTTTGTATTCGTTAAGGCTCTTAACAAGTTTGTTGCACTTTTCTCTCCCCTCCTGTAGTTGTTCTTTGGACAAATCGCAGGCTTGTTTAGACTCGACCAACTGCGACTCTAAAAACATAATTCTCTCCCACAGTTCTTTCACCTCTCTTTTCGTGTTCTTTGCTTCATTGCCCACATCTTCGTGTCTTTTACTTAGTGTTTCCAACGAGCTCTTCAGAGAATTACATTCTTCAATGAGAGCCTGAGCACACTCTTTTTCTGCAGCGAGCAAACAGGGTTTGTCGCGTCCAGTTTGTTCATCTAATGTCGTTTCATCGTTCATTTCTCGGGAAGAGTGACAATTTGTTTCTAGTGCGCGGTTAAGTTCATTTTGAAGGTCCACGGTCTGTAGAAACAAAGGGTAGCAATTGAAAGTCAAGTAAAAATATATACAATGTACGACAACGGAGACAGAATTGCAATACTCAAAATACTGATTAGGTGATTCACACATTAGAGACTTTTAAAGTAGATCCAAGCTCCCCGCGAACGGAGAACCGTTAGGGGTAACGTGACCAGTACCGGAGGTCATGACTCACGTTTACAACATAAAGAAGTAGGTTTTTACGTGCATGCAGGTCATTTATCTCAAGTATTATTGCCTTAATTAATTTTTATTTCATGCCACATACACATCTGAAATTGAATAAGAAATTAGCAAGCCTTCTGTTGCTGTTCGTAGAAAAACACGGAAATCCATTATTGCGGCGGCTAAAGTTAAAATTTTGCCCTCACTACACAACCGAGCACACTCAAAGGTTGAAGCATGGGCGCGTTGGTCAGCCAGGCCCAAGAGATGTTTTATTTGCGACAATAAGCTTACAACAAAGTGGATAAGAGA